GCCTCCTGGGCATGGCTGTGGGCGCGCGGTCTGGGGGTGTTGGCGCCTTTGGGTGCTTAGCGGGAGCCTGGGCATGTCGATGGCGCGTGCCTGGGGTCCCGTGCAAGCTTGCGGCACCCTTGGGTGCTCCTCCGCGCCTTTGGGTGCCCATGCACATCCTGGGCGCCCCAGGGGGGCTAGTGCATCGTGCTGGCACCCTTGGGTGCGTCCTTGGCACGTGCAGGTGCCTGAGTCCATCTTTGGGGGTTCAAATGCACCCCTAGATGCTGGTGCACGCCCTTAGCACCCTGTGGGCACCCTTGGGTGCTGAAGCGCTCCCCTATCACCCCCAGGGCCCTATGTGCACCCTTGGGTGTCTCTGCCACCCATCAGGCACCCGTGTTCACCCTAGAATCCTGTGCATTGCACGATCATCCATAGAGCATCCCTGATACCCCTGGGTGCTCCCTTGGCACCTTTGGGTGCCCCTGGGACCCCAGTGACCCCCCAGGGGACCCATGTGCTCCCCGACACCCAAAGGAGCCTCTCCCTGCCCGGGACCCTTGTGCCCCCCCATAGGGCACCCATATGCACCCCGGGACCCGTGTGCACCCCAACACGCGTGTGCATCCTCCAGAGCTGTGTGCGCCGTGACACGTGTGCGTGCCGTGCAAAACACGTGTGAAATGCAATGTGTGGGTGCAATGCAACACGCGTGTGCAATGCAACGTGTGCGTGCACCCCAATGTGTGCGTGCAACGTGACACACGTGTGCAATGCAACATGCGGGTGCAATGCAAAATCCTAGAGCACCGCAACATGTGTGTGCAATGTGACATACGTGTGTAATGCACTGTGTGGGTCGAATGCAATGTGCACGTGCAATGTAACATGCGTGTGCACTGCAAAACCAGTGCACCCCAAGATGTGCGTGCAACGTGACACACGTGTGCAATGCAATGTGTGGGTGCAATGCAACACACGTGTGCAATGCAAGGCCCTAATGCATCCCAACATGTGCATGCAACGTGACACACGTGCAATGCAATATGTGGGTGCAATGCAACATGCGTGTGCAATGCAACGCATGCGTGCACCCCAGTGTGTGCGTGCAACGTGACACACGTGTGCAATGCAACATGTGTGTGCAATGCAAGGCCCTGGCGCACCCCACCACGCGCGTGCAACGTGACACACATGTGCAACGTGACACACGCGTGTGCAATGGGGC